AAGGCAATCGTTCGATGGGCTGAATTGCACAAAACGCATGATCGCATCGGCTAGTCTGGTGCGCGTTACCATTTATTTCATTCGCGAGTTATGAATTTTCCCGCCATAGTTTTCACGTGCCCGTACGTGAGCCCCATTTATTTAACCAAATACATGCATGCTTAATGGGCAGATGTATAATATTGCAACTGACCTGAACTTTGGTACTGTAACTTGAGACTGAAGAATTTTCTCACACTCCTCCAGAAGATAGTTCTGCGATTTCTGTTCGACTGGTCTAATGAGCTGCCTGGCGACGTGTCTTCTATTATTCGAGGCATCATCCAGTCTGAAAATCCAGCGGCAGTATTCAGGAACTGCTATTTGATTGTTCAGCTAAGTCGTTGGGACGTAATGGCACCTCAATCAAACCGCTAAATCATATAATTTCTCGTAAAAGAGTCGGTTCAAGATGGAAAAATTGGCCCAAGTGATGCAGCTGTACCTGCCTGTCTATGCATATTCTAGATAACTTTGCATTCAGATGCAAAATTTGAAAAAGCATCTTATCCAGTTAATTACCAAACATACTGCAAATTCGAATGGGAATAGCACTGAGGGCAAAACGCCCCCAATCCAAAGTAGGGCTGTTACTTCGAAAGTGCCAGAGCAGGCCGGTCTACGACTCGCTATTTCATTGTGTCTAAACTGATGCTGAGTGGAACAGAAAACCACATCATCTCTTGCTTGGCAAACGTCTAACGGGACAACCACTGAATGCCTTGCAAAGTATGGATCATTTTGTTGGCGCGATATCATTTGGGAAACTTCAAGTGAATCGGCCTTTCAAAAACAGAAAAAATACACAAGTGATTTTGACTTTGTCTCTTAGACTGAAAATCAGCCCCTTAGCAATTTTTAAGTGACTCCACAGCTCATTGCACTTTTTACGTGCTTTTTGCATCTATGCAATGCAGAAAACGCATATTGACGAACGGTTGTCTGTGCGTGGGCCTGTGCCGATTTTTCATTTCAAGACCTATAAAAGCTACAGGGCTGAAACTTTGGGAATTTAATCTACACGCACGTACGGACCCCAATCCCCAAAATGGGCACTCTTATCCGCGTGGCACCCACATACGGCCCCACCAAAGTTTTTCACAGGCAAGCTGCTAACTCGGGAACCAGAAAAGCTACGAAGCTGAAATTTTAAGGGGATGTTCCCCATCCATGTAGGTATTAATGAGCTCAAACCCAGTCTCCGGGTATGCATGATTCTCACCTACAGGCCCGTGAAAGTTTTCTGCGGGTAAGTTACTAAGTCGGGAACCAGGAAAGCTAGAAAATTGAAATTTTAGAGGAATGCCCTGGCGGCCAGTCTCAATTCATTTATCTAAAAGCATCTGCCGGAAAAAACTGCCGTTAGCGAATAAAATCTGTAGGTAACTATGTAAAAAACGCATTTTTGTATCGGTAGTCGGTACGCTGGCCATTTATTTCCACACTAGCGTTAAGATGAAAAGAAGAAATATGTCGCTTTCTCCTCTTAAATTTTTTACCTCAAAATTTTTGTCGCAGCTCAAAAAATTCACAAACAGATAATACCCAGCAAAATGCAGACATAAGTGTACAAATTCTGTCATCGTTTGTTTCCCAAAAAGTAAAAAAATAACGCTTACATAGTAAATTTGGTAAGGAATTGCTTTGAGGAAGTGACAGCAACGAAGGCTATGTGCTGTTCACCAAATGTGCTGGGTACGCCACTGACACAAATCCCGCACTCATCGCTGCTCACCATAACAGTGGTTGCCATTGTTATGCAATCTTCCGACTCCGAGGTGCTGCCAACCACACAGAAT